TTTCCACTGTGTTTATGGCACTTTCACTGAAACAATCTTGGGTAAGTTCATGCTGTCCCCTCAGCACGTGAGCTTGTGAGTGAGCTCGTTAGGGCACAGACCATCACCCAACATGCGGATGAAGCCTTGCACCATCCGCCCTCTAGCATCCACTGCCCAGAGATCCAAAGAAAAATTTAAAGAGGTGTGATATTCAAAATGGCTTTGAAGAATCTAGGAGTCTGGCAGATAAAGAAGATTTTGTAGAACTAAGTTTCTATGTTAAACTATCATATATAAGCTACTGGATTATCGTTCAAGTATTTCATGGGGTTTAAGTTTCTTCTCCAAAACAAGTTCCAGGGGGCTGAGGAGATGGCTCAGTAGAATAAGTGCTTCTCTGGCAAGCTCAAGGGCCTGAGTTCAATCCCCGGTTCCACCAAAAAAAAAAAAAAAAAGAACAACATAAGTTCCAAAAGCTCAGTTTCTTTTTTTAAAATCTACCTTTGGGGGAGGCGTATTAGATAGGGCTTGCTAGAGTAATGGGTCAGAGTCAGGTGTAGAATGCAGATCCCAATGATCCAGTCAAAACTGCAAGACCTTTAGCTCACTAGAGTCCTACTGGATGCTGAAGAGTCTACATTAGAAAGCTGAAGAGTGAGCTGGGAGGCTGAGAGTCTGCTTTGGAAGACAGACATTCCAAGCCAATATCGAAGACTAGCGCCTCTTTCCCTTTTTATTCCATTCAGGCTACCAGCCTATGGGCTGGTGCTACTCACACCCGGGGTGGGGCTTCACTAAATCCTTTCAGCAACACCCAGAAGTGTGCCAAGCCAATCAGTTGGGCCTTCCTTATTCAAACTGACAAAAATAGTTAACCATCACAGGGGACAACCAAGTATGATCTGGGTTTGGTGGAGGTTCTTTTTTATTTAAAAACTCTGGTTAAACTTTAAGAGATGGACCTAACCACATACGTGCAGTGAATGAAGTTTGGTAGGAGAACCGTGGGTGCTTGGTCTCTTTTGAATCTTATTTTCTAAAATGTTCAAGTTAACTTAATGAAGGAATCAGGCTGGAGATTCAGCCCAGTGGGGCAGCACCTGCCTGGCAAGCATGAGGTGCTGAGTTCAATTCCCAGTACCCACCCCCCCCCAAAAAAAAACCTTAATGAAGGAATCAGAGTATCACTTATATCACCAAAATAATCTCACATGCCACAAATGCAGCTTACTGAATGACAGATAGAAAGAACAAAAATGATACTGTACTTTGGAATGAGAAAGGCAGTGCCAGAGAGCTGTAAATGTCTTTGCTCTTGGCAAACACTTCATCAGAACCCCATACCCCACATCCCTGCTCAATACTGTGACATCCACAGCCTTGTCAGAGCTATAGAAGTTGGGTCCCTGTCGCAGAAAGAATACCGGCTCCTCATACACTCTGAGTGACCACTAAGGGAAGGGAAGGGTGCATAGGATTAGAACAGAAAGGCTGTCACAGAGAGAATCTGCCAACCTCCCACTGTACAGAAAAGGACATGGAGACCAGAGACTTCGCATTGTTTTTCTCAAACCCAAGTCAGCAGAATCCAGCAGTCCTGACATGGCCAGACATTATTTCTATTATCCTTGGTTATTTGATGTCTCTTCAGGATAACAAAAGTTTACAAAGACAGCCAGAATTCTCAGTAGAAAGGAAGGCTCAGAATACAACACAGATTACGTGTTTTGACATAATCCTGCACAAAAGAACCCAAAAAGACACCCTCAAAACATCCCTAGCTGGCCACTAGAGATGCTCCAAGCCTGGCAAGCCCACGACTTCAGACAGCTCAACCTGATCTTCCCATTAGTGACTGCTGACAATCACAGTCCTCTTAGGACAAGAGGAGGACCCCATCCAACTGTAAAGAACAAACAGGATTACAGGAGCATGGGCAATTCAGAGAAATTAATCCAGCAAGGTGGGGAAATCAATACCCTGAAGGTGCCTGTTGGTTTAGTATAGTGCTAGCAGGGCTAGTGTTGGCTGACACTAAAACAGTTTCTAGTCTCCAGAGATTCTCAAGGTCAAGGGTAGAAGGCAAAAATCTGGGCCATGCAAATTTCTTTTGTCACCCAAGTTCAATGGGACTGTGACTGTGACTGAGTGATCAAGCCTGCTGTGTTGGGTCACTGCTTTCTATTCCTAGCTGAGAACATTCAGAGAAGGAAAAAAAAAAAAATCTCCTGAAGTACAACTTCTATAGAAGAAAGAGACAGGACAGGAGGTTTGAACATAATGCTGTAAAATACCAAGAGGATCTTTATTCTTCATTAAAACCAACTGACTAAAGAGGAAACAATTGAAACAAAGCAATCAAGTTTGGCTCTATTTTAATTGACATGAATAACTTTGGGTTGCTGGCTTCTCTACATGTTCAAATCTGAACACAATTTTAGCTAAAAGTTAAAATTTGCATCTACAATGATTAGCATTAAGCACTGATTTTTTTTTTTTTTTTTCTGGAAAAAGACATGACTAAGATATTCAGCCCATTTTGAGAAATTCAAGAATCAGACAAAGCTCCATTGTCAAAGAATTCTAACATGAAAAAGGAAAACTGCCCAAAGTTTTTCCTTTTGGAGTAATTATGTTAAAACTGCTTGAATCAAGTGGTCAACACCATAGAAACTTTTGTTGTGCAAATGTCTGT